GTGTGTGTGTGTGTGTGTGTGTGTGTGTGTGTATATATATATATATGTGTGTGTATGTATATATATATATATATATATATGTATATATATAATATACATTTATGTGTATGAATGCCATATGCATGGACAAAATCTCACCTGGAATCTGACCATGTTTGTTTACAGTGGACAGTTAGGTGCTTGTGTTGTATGGTTCGTCAGTGGTACTTGTAGTTATCATGGATGCTGAAACCTATGAAAGAATGATTTAAGCATTGTCAGCTCACTTATGAAATTGGGATATCTTTTTAAAGTGTCTAAAAACTGTCTTGGACATTTTTGAATTACCATGGACCAGTTAAACAAAAACCCTTGGGTAATGTCAGCATGAAATCAAACATTTCTCTTCTTATATTTATACGAATATAGTAGTACCAGTTATACAGTTTGTTTCCAGTCACTTACACACATTTTAAAACAGTGTCCCCCTTTTTTCAAAACTCTACACACAATTCTCAAAACTGCAAACATAAAATGCAAAATGGCTCATATTTCTAGTGACGTCGCTGTGAGTTAGGTATGGGTTAGGTGAGCCCATTAAAAAGCATTGGATGGAGTGTGCAGCCAAACCCCTCTCACATTTGGATTGACTGTGTTAGGAAAAGGAAAGCAAGTAGCTTCCTGTAATATTTTGTAATATTTTTGTGTTTTAGGAAGAGAATTGTGTGTAGTGTTTTGAAAAATAGTTAGTTTAAGGCTTAGTTTACGGCTGAGAAATAGCTTTTGGGTATTTTTTTTTTTTTTTTGTTTGTTTGTTTTGAATAGTTTTGCATTTTCAGTGAGATGTTTCAGAAATTGTGACATGAAAAGATTTTGTGTGTAAGCAGTTGGGAAATACTAAACAATATTTCTATGCACTTCAGTAAAAAAAAAGAAGTAATTTACCTTCATAATCTTTAATCAAATAGCATAATCTTCCCTCCCCTCGAAACAACTTTACTTGACTTCTGATCACATGGAATACCTTTTAGGAGGTGATATCAGCGTATGCCTCGTTTCTGACCTGCTTTCATTCCTCAATCTTCCTCCATATTGCTAGCTATGACCATATTGCTAGCAAACTCATGCACCGCCCTACATTTATTTTCTTATTTCAGGTATGTTTCAATTGGATGTACTTCATGATATAGTGCAGTGCATTTTGTCGGCTTCAAATGTATTTCTGAAGAAACTACCACCTTAATTTTAAATAGTTCATTCTGAAAGACAATTGAAGCTAACAACATGCGCTAATGCACATTCTGAGGAGGTTACACAGTCAGACACCTGTTGCAAATTTGCTACATTACTCAAATATTTGCAAATGATATGAATTATTATATTAACAGACGTGAGTGAACGCAAGCCGTAAGCATAGTTGGTTTTTGTTCCCGCTAATTGCTTGGCTAGGTGTGTCCTAGCCATTAGGTGTACAGTTGAAGTCAGAATTATTAGCCCCCTGAATTTTTTTCTTCTTTTTTAAACATTTCCCAAATGATGTTTAACAGAGCAAGGACATTTTAACAGTATGTCTGATAATATTTCTTCTTCTGCAGAATGTCTTATTTGTTTCATTTCGGCTAGAATAAAAGCAGTTTTTAATTTTCTAAACACCATCTTAAGGACAGAATTATTAGCCCCTTTAAGCTATATATTTTTTCGATAGTCTACAGAACAAACCATCGTTATACAATAACTTGCCCAATTACCCTAACCTGCCTAGTTAACCTAATTAACCTAGTTAATCCTTTAAATGTCACTTTAAGCTGTATAGAAGTATCTTGAAAAATATCAAGTAAAATATTATTTACTGTCAACATGACAAAGATAAAATAAATACGTTATTAGAGATGAGTTATTAAAACTATTATGTTTTGAAATGTGTTAAATCTCAGAAACTAAGGAAAAAATAAACAGGGGGGCAATAACTCTGACTTTAACTGTATATTACATTTTCAGTGACAACCCAAATTTACCCTTGTTTTAGTCAAAAGATCTATGTTTAGATGTCTATTAAACATCTATTAAGCACAAACATAACTGGTGGGAAATGGCCTCAGACGACAAAATTTTGACCTACTGTATGACTGAAGCTTTTAGTCTGAGGCATGACAATATTTAATTTTATGACTTGGGTTTGAGAACATCCCAAAATGTACCCAGTACACCAGGTTTAACTTAGATTATATGCCCTATGATGTATTGGTCAGATAAGAGAGGCACACAAAATGTTCACTGGAGCCAGGTTTGGAAACATTAGAAACCCTCAAATGCATACTGTAGATGCAACTGAACTCATAACGTTGTTGCTACTGTTATCCTCTAAGAGTTACACTGTAAAAAAAAACAGACTCATACATGCCAGTCATCAGTTTCACATTTAGAAACAAACTCACTTGAGGTTTGCAGCTGTGCAGAAAGTTGTGAAAGTCTAATTGCCACTGTTGAGTTACTTGGCATTTCTTTAAAAATCACTGACCGTGTTCACAAAGGATGAACAATTTACACAGAAGGCTGCAGCAGCAGTTGGAATAAATAAATGTGCCATTTTAAACCCATTTTTAGCAGCACTTTAAAATATTTAACCCAAGCAATGCCATACAAAAAGACTCATCCTACGTTAAATGAATAAATGTATGAATAAAAAAAGAAAACATGAATTCTTTAATTTAGAATTAAAGAACATTCCCACATTCTCGTCATATTTTACAGTCATTTTAGGGTTTTCAGAGGTGTCAAGGCAGCAAAGTGTAGGTATGTATAAAAAGAAATTGGAAACAGCTTTATCCAGAAATAATTAGTATGCACATTGTACACTAAAATAATGTCTTTTTTTTAAACTATAAATGCAACCTTTTAGCTTTTTTTGCTCTGTTTACTTTTGTTGTGAGTTTATAGATAATATGAACAGTATTCATATTTCAAAGCATGCAAAATGACCAAGGTTGTGTTTGACATATTGCAAACAATCCACTGAGCTTTGGATTACATTCAGACATTTCCATTATTTATGTCATTTCTTTGTTTTTATTTTGTTTAGTAAACCAGGTAATGAACAGGGTAAAAGTGTGGAATCCATAATAAAAAAAAAGTATTACAGATGAAAATAAGGTTTGCCTGTCATTTTCAGTATGACATTTATTATTCCTAAACAGTGCCAAGATCAATGAAATGAACACATCCTTCATCACCAAGACCTCAAAACAGTGCCTAGTTGGCACTCCAATATTTTGATACTGTCAAGCAAACAAGAAAAACTACACTTTTAATTTTTTGTTGCTAAAACAAAAGGACCCTTTATAATAAGGTTAGGTACTGTAGTATCCGGAAAAAAAATTAATTATTTGTGATGCATTTATTAATCAATCTTAAAGGTGCAGTAGGTGATTGTCTTCAGATTTTTTTATGCTGGTTGAAAGTGTCCATATTCCTATATCATTCATTTTCTTGTTGGCTTCCCTTTATTATTAGTCCCTAATAATTATTGTCAAGTCAAGTCAAGTCAAGTTTTATTTGTCACATACATAGTTATACAAAGTATGACCAGCTGTGAAATGTAGGTCAGGTCCGCTCCAGAGATATACAGGTATAGATAAACAAAAAATTAAATATTAAGGAAAAAGAAGAAAAAGAAAAAACGTGCAAAAAAAGATGTGCAAAAAATTATACAAGGTAATAAGAATAGCAGCAATATGATGTACTTATGAATATGACTACTACAATGATAAATACGAAAAAATCACGTAATGTGTAACACCGGGTTAGAATTTAGTAGCCTGATGGCCTGGGGAAAGAAACTCCTCCAAAGTCTCTCAGTTTTTGCCATCAAGCTACGAAATTGTTTTCTAGATGGAAACAAAGTGAATAGATAATTGTCAGGATGGTTTAAGTCCTTACAGATTTTAACAGCTCTATTCTTACAGCGTTTAATATAGATGTCTTGCAAGGAGGGGAAAGCAGACCCTGAGATGCGCTCAGCTAAACGCACAACTCTTTGAAGTGCTTTGCGGTCTTGGTTTGAGCTGTTTCCATTATTTATTGTTATTAGTCCTTTTATTAATCCGGGGTCGCCACAGCAGAATGAACCGCCAACTTATCAAGCAAGTTCAACCCATCTCTGGGAAACATCCACACACACACTCATACACTACGGACAATTTAGCCTACCCAATTCACCTGTATCGCATGTATTTAGACTGTGGGGGAAACCGGAGCACTCAGAGGAAACCCACACGAAGGCAGGGAGAACATGCAAACTCCACACAGAAATGCCAACTGAGCCGAGGTTCGAACCAGCGGCCCAGCGACCTTCTTGCTGTGAGGCGACAGCACTACCTACTGCGCCACTGCCTTGCCCATATTCCTATAGTACCGATTAAAGTAAATAATCTAAGTGTATTTATATGTGTTTTTATATTCTGGCTAAGGCATAAAACTATGTTCATCCATATTGAATACTGTCGGTCAGACCTCTCCCATAATTCTGATAAGCAGCTCAAACTGTCAACAAATGTAGATTTGAACAACTGCAGTCTTTCATGCAGATTTGCCATTGGCGTGGGCACGCACATGCACACGAGAGACAAAGAGAGCAAAACAAACGCTCAATCAAAACTTTCTCAAATCCTGAACCAATGTTGAAGTTATTTTTGCAAGCTGAATGAAGGATGACACCATGGCTGAAGTATTTCTGTTTGACAGGTAATGTTATGTTTTAAAACTCTTTTAGTCATGCAGAGATGATGTAGATTTTGTTGTTACGAATAGATTATATGCACAGAATATATGCGAGCCCTTAGCAGACTTGTCATCTTTAAGGTGCGCACACTCGTGTTTCAAAGGCGTGGCTTTGGAAGGCAGGGGAAGGACTGTGTAAAATCTACAGTATTATGCTAACCGACATTGTGGCAGATCACCTACTGCACCTTTAAGTTACAAAAAGTTTGTTTGTTACATAAAGTATTAACTAATGTTAATACTTCTCTTTCTTTCTTTCTTTCTTTCTTTTATATTAACCCAATGCTTATGTGCACACTTACAACCGCACCTGAATTTCAGCTGACTAACCGAGTGATCTGTCTTGTAATGTTTACACACAATTATAACTATGGACATATGGTACCTTAAAATGACTTGGTAGACATCACATTAGACTTTGGACTATTCTGATGAATTCCATGACATATCCATCAAAGACTTTTGAATAGGATAAATCTCTATGTCTAAATTTGATGGTGTGACCAAGATTTGAAGCTATTAAATCACACAGGCTGAGGTCGATTTTAACTGACTGATCTTGGCAGACATTCTGAATTATTCTTCCTGGCACTCCACATAAGAAACTGAACAAATACAACTATTGTATGTAACGTACAAAAGCTCCAGTTTACAGTGCAAACACACCATGCGGCGGTCAACATATTCTCATTATCTTAAAGATTTAAGGAAACGCTTTTTATATTCCGCCCATCCCCCGCTAAGAACGACTTTAACAGTGATTTATCTTACTTGGCTGATCACGAAAATAACAAGCCAACCTGATTTTTCAAGTCACAACGTCATTACTGCTGCAGAACTCGTTAAAAATCTCACCATTTGCTGTGCTCCCATAAAAACCCAGCCACTGAGAATCGAAGCAAACCACAGTGCTTTATATTTTTGCACAGTTTGTATACTATGTTCACTGATACTGCTGAAAAATCATTGATGCATGCAAGAATGTGTTGCTCTGTAAAAATTTGATGTTTCCTGCAGGGACAATAACAGCACTTTTTGTAAATACCCAGTACGAGTGCTTTATGCTCCATGCGTTGCCTGCCAAATGGGGATCTTACAGAGAAAAGAAAAAACACAACGCCTCCTTTAAAAGCGTGCCGAGCAGACAAACCTCTTAGTCAAGATGAGCCTCAAGCTTGGCCATTTCTGAATCAATTATTCATCTGAATTGGATTAGATGGCCCCTGTGATTTCCCTTCTTCTGTCTCTAGCCATCCCTGTCCATCAGCATGTGGAGGGTTTCTCCCTCTGCATCATCTGTTTCACATTTTCTAGTTGTGGACAATTGACTACTGGCCAAGATTTTATAGATCCTATATAAGATTTTCTTCCTGGCTCTTTGGGAGGGTGCTGATCAATCCTGAGTAGTAATGTGTTGTCTTTGATTCCAGGAGTAGAAAGACATTTCCAAAAGGTTTAATCTGATTTATTCTTTAGAGACAGGTTGCCCAGTGTGCCCATTGCCATTTGGCAGCCTGAGAAGCTTCCCCCACATCTCATGAGCACTTGGTCTGGCGCTATACCACAGTGCTGATGGTGGAAGACTCCTCAGACTTGCCCTGCCTGCTGGGCAGAGACTTGAGATACTCCAGGTGGCGCCTGGCATCTTCCTGATTGTGTCTCACATAGTAGACCAGGTAGGAGATGACCATGGTGAACCATCCAAACATGGTCACCAACATGGCCACATCCGTGGTCTTTTTGAGCACCACACACAGGTCCAGGTCTTTGGCCAGCAGGAAAGGCACACCTTGGGCTCCAGCGTCTGAGGGTTCAAATGTCTGGCAGACAATACCAGTCAAAGAAACAGGCTCTAGGTCCAGACGAGGAAGGGCTGTCTGCAGCCTACAGTCACAGTGCCAGGGGTTTCCAGTGAGGTTAGATCTTGCTCGAACACTGTCAAAGGCATCAGGGTCCAGAGTCTTAAGCTGGTTGGATGACAAATCCAGAAACTTTAGAGAGGCTGTTAAGCCTCTAAAGGCTCCAGGTTCAAGCAAAGACAGTTCATTATGGGAAAGATCGAGCTCAGCTAGAAGTGGAAGATCATGAAAAGCATTGGCAGGGATGCTGGTTAGTAGGTTGTAGTCCAGGTAGAGGCGTCGTGTGTCATTAGGAATGTCCTGAGGGATCTCAGTGAGGTGCAGGTTGCTGCAACGCATAGTTTTACCATCAAATGAGCCCTCACTGTCTGAACAGTAGCATCCTTTGGAGCAAGACGTTGCAGCATGGTGGAAACACAGTGTCATCAGCACAAAGCTGTGAAACAGTAACCACATGACCACAGAATGCCGAAGCAGCCAACCTGAGGGTAGCAACATTGTCGGACAGTGGGCATAATCCCTTTGGAGTACCACCTGTGTCTTCTCCGGGGGCTGTACACAACATCAAAGTCCCCAACTGATTGAAAGCCTAGAAGATTAAAGAACACAACCAGTTAAACCGAAAAAAAATACATATATATATATATATATATATATATATATATATACAGTTTAAGTCAGAATTAATAGCCCCCCTGTTTATTCCCCCCCCATTTCTGTTTAACAGAGAGACGATTTTGTTAACACATTTCTTAACGTAATAGTTTAATAGCTCATTTCTAATAACTGATATATTTTATCTTTTCCATGATGACAGTGAATAATATTTGACTAGATATTTTTTAAGACCCTTCTATACAGCTTAAAGCGACATTTAAAGGCTTAACTAGGTTAATTAGGTTAACTAGGCAGGTTAGGGCAATTAGGCAAGTTATTGTATAATGATGCTTTGTTCTGTAAAAAAATATATATAGCTTAAAGGGGCTAAAAATATTGTCCTTAAATTGTTTTTTTGAAAAATTTACTTTTATTCTAGCCGAAATAAAACAAATAAGACTTTCTCCAGAAGAAAAAATATTATCAGACATACTGTGAAAATTTCCTTGCTCTTTTAAACATCATTTAGGAAATATTTAAAAAACGAAAAGAAATTTCAAAGGGGGGCTAATAATTCTGACTTCAACTGTATATATATATATAACTGTATGGATGGATATTGCATTGAAGGTTAGGAGAATTCAGAGCATCACTTCCAAATCAATTTAGAAATATTGACAATATTATTTACATTGTCTAGGCTTATTTAGTACTATTAATATTCATGTCATGTTTTAATTAGTTTTTCTTTCCATCTCTTGCAGGATTGCTTTACTGATCTCTTGTGGTAAAAGGATTTGCACGTAATAATTAACTTACAATGAATTACATCACTTAAAGCCTACTTATAATTAGTAGTGTATACAGACATACGTACACATAATTGTACATGCACGGCTCCCAAAACCATAAAGCCCAGAAATTAAAATTAATAAGCTAACAGATGCTCTAACCTTTCAGTTTTAAATTAATGATGGAAATTGTGTACCTGTTTCTCAAAGCAAAAGTGATTTATCTATTATTATTTCCCTGTGGGTTTAGTAACCTTTTTGGTCACACTTTTTATTAAGTGGATTAAACTACTATTTACTTACATCAAAATAAAAATACAATGTACTTAATGTGTTCATAATGTATTGCAGAACACATCTAATGCTCTTGAGGCGGGATATGGGTATGGGTTAGAGAAAGGTTTGGTGTAAGGGAGGTTCAACAATGTAATTTTTAATGTAATTACAGAAATTAATTACTATTGTAATTTTATTCAGTTATCTAATCAAACATAAGTATAATGTAAAAACATATTTACACAATAAGTACATTTATTTATTCATTTTCTTTTCGGCTTCGTCCCTTTATTAATCTGGACTCGCCACAGCAGAATGAACCGCCAACTTATCCAGCATGTGTTTTACACATCGGATACCCTTCCAGCTGCAACTTATCACTGGGAAACATCCATACACACTAATAAGCTATGGGCAATTTAGCTTATCTAATTCACCCATAGCACATGTCTTTGGACTTGTAGGGAAAACCGGAGCACCCGGAGGAAACATGCCTTCTGAATTTTGCGCTCTTTTAAATTTAATAGATTTTGACTAAATTGGTGATTTTTTTCATGTGCAGTTAGCCCAATGATATGTGGTGAAGTTATTCTAATGCCCTTTGAAAAATTAGCAATTCCATACAATTAAAGTTTGTTAACTTACAATTTCTCCATCAGTGCATCTTATGACTACTCCCTCATGAACTAAACTTTGCTCTGCTCAAGTATGATGTGACCAGCTTTAAACACGTCTTTAGAGAATTCTTCTGTTATTTAAGTATCAAGTTATACATCACACAATGTGTGTGTGGATGTTTCCCAGACATGGGTTGCGGCTGGAAGGGCATCCGCTGCATAAAAACTTGCTGGATGAGTTGGCGGTTCATTCCGCTGTGGCGACCCCGGATTAATAAAGGGAATAAGCCGACAAGAAAATGAATGAATGAATGAACATCACTCCCAATTATATACACAGATAATCCCAGCAAAAGAATGCTAAATGCCTAAGTGAGGCAGACAATTATGTACCCTTCTCTCTAATTGCTGAGACTGACTGGACTACCATGATTTTACAATAGGTACACTTTTATTCATCTGATGTTTTCCTAGTATCTATCTATCTATCTATCTATCTATCTATCTATCTATCTATCTATCTATCTATCTATCTATCTATCTATCTTTCTGTCCGTCCGTCCGTCCGTCCATCCATCCATCCATCCATCCATCTAGGCATTTACAGTTTTTCTCAGTGGCTTCGGTGCATTTTTCACAGCACTATTTACATTTGCACAACAGTTAATGCATTTCTCAAAACACTTAGTACAATCTCCAAAACCTAGATAATAACCGCAAAAGCATGTCACATGCTCAAAATGGATAGCTCATTCCTCAAAAGCAAGTATTGATGTCAATGAAAGTGTCAGTGTCATCAAGATGAAAAGTCCGGACATCATTGTTTATGATCAAGATAGTCAAATGGCTTTGTCAGGTTTTTATCATGACAGTTTACTACTCTGTACATTTTTCCAATTAAATAAAGTCAGATTTTAGTGACACTTCCTGAAAATGCTCAAGACAGCACTAGATACTATGTACACAGCCATTTGAAAACTAAAGTAAAGTTAGACATCACTGCATTTAGTGCAAGCATTTGCAATTTGTTGGAAGGAATGAGAAACTGCTACTATGATATGCACAAATGACTAATTGTTTTGAGAAATGCATTAACTGTTGTGCAAATATAAATAGTGTTGTTAGGTACTGTTAATGTTTTTAAGTACTAATATGTACTTTTGAAGAACCAATATGGACCCTTTAAGAACAAATGTATGCCTTTTGTAAAGGTGCCACCCCAGAGACAGCTAGCGTACCTTTATTTCTGAGTGTGCAGGTCATGTCATTGTGATACAGAAAGAAAAATACAGCACTGCATAGCACAAAGAAGAAGAAAAAAAACAGCAGCAACAACAAAACTAATAGAGAAACGTGACAACCTCCTTTGAAATTCACATTCGTAAGAGAAAGTTAGGATTCATAGCATTTTACCAATTCAGAACAGATTTAGAAAGAATGTCTAGTGAAAAACTTTATGACATAGTATTATGGCAACTTATTTAACCATTCTGCATGTAAATAATGTTATAAACTAATGCCTAAATGTTGTGGGGGTTGAGACTATTCAACAGAGACCAATAATGCATTTTAATCAACATGTCATAAGTATTTGATAATGTAGGAAACAGCAGAGAATTCTACATAACTGTTTGCATGATTGTACCAAAGCATTTGCAGCTTGTTCAAAGAAATGAGAAATAATGTTTTGATGTGCACAGTGACGTGACGATTGAACAGGTACACTAAAAAAAATTATTCAAAGCTAGTTCCTTGGATTTACTCAATTTTTACGTTAAGTGGTTGTAAAAAATTTATTTGTGTTGAATTTATACAAACAAATTAAGTTGGACATTATTACATTTAATTTGTTTGTTTAAATTCAACACAAATAAATTGTTTGCTACAGTTTGCAACGCTTTTTTCAGTGTAGTTTTGAGAAATTCAATCTGAGAAATGTACCAAAGCGACTAAGAAAAACTGTAACTTAGTCTTAGCACCAGTACTGGTAGTCTTAAATATTGCACATGGAAAAGCCTAAATGATGTACAGTACAAGAGAGGGAAGGCAAGGAACACTGCCTGCTATTTGAACTGTGGTTGCCATTTTAGATATTTAATCCTAGCAGCATTGTGGTCAGTAATCCATATTAATAGTTTCACCTGAAATGAAGCTTTTTTTGTCTGACGAGCAGACAAAGATGATCAACTTTTTTAATTCACACTTTTTAAATTTTTTTTGTGCGACCATCTAAAAATAGCTTCCCACCTTTGCTCATTAATATATTAGCAGCATATAAGAAGCAGCTATCCTCTTACAAATCTTCAGAGCAACATGCTTCAGAAGGCAGCTCCCTTGATTGGCTGCAATAA